AGCAGGTTTCTGTATTAAGTGAAATTATTCGGATGGCCGTATTGCATGTTTGGCCTCTCAGTTCAGAATTCACTTACCATGCAGCGCTAGCGTCATTTGATTCAAAGGCTTGCTTCAGAAGTCTACATTCACTGGTAACGAATCTTATTTAGAGAATAAGTCACTTTTACTCATTTGTGTGGAGAAATATCGAAAAGCGTAGGTTACTCATGCGTTAAGTGACATTCGCTTTTAGAAATTTGTCCATACGAAAGAGTAGAAGTGATTCACTCTCTGAGCTAGTTTCGTTTTCATGGTTTCGACTAGATAGGAGGTTGCTGTCTTTAGTAAACCTATTCAGGATGGATAAGACCTATTGTATACTGGTCAGCTCAGATCAGAATGTTCGCATCGGTCGTCGCTAATGTTCCATTTGACTCCTGATTGTTTACTTTAACTTGACTGCCTACTACATAAAGGGTGATACGGTCAAAATTTGGTCAAGGGAAAACGCGTGTAAATCGGTGAAATCGTTTATTTAAAAAATCAAATTAAATTTCTTTTTCAAGTTCAATTAGTATAAAATTCAGGAAAAATATTCAGTTAGGCTTCCGCTTTTCCAAATCCGAATTGCCGGGCCTTACGCTTGACCCCTGCCATCAGATTTTGTACAGCCACCTTGTCCACCTTCTTCGCCGCAGAAAGCCAGTTTGCCTTGAACTGCTGCTCGCCCTTAGCAGTTTTTTTGGTCTTCTTTAGGTTCCGCTTGACAATAGCCCAGTATTTCTCAATTGGGCAGAGCTCTGGCGTGTTGGGAGGGTTCTTGTCCTTGGGAACCACCTGCACGTTGTTGGCGGCGTACCACTCCATGGCCTTTTTACCGTAATGGCAAGATGCCAAATCCGGCCAAAACAGTACGGAACAACCGTGTTTCTTCAGGAAAGGCAGCAGACGTTTATTCAAACACTCTTTCACGTAAATTTCTTGGTTGACAGTCCCGGAAGCTATGAAAATGCTGCTTTTCAAGCCACAGGTACATATGGCTTGCCAAACCAGATATTTCTTTGCGAACTTTGACAGTTTCATGTGCTTGAAAACATCTGCTACCTTTCCCCTTCCTTTTGCCGTATAAAACTCCTGTCCCGGAAGCTGCTTGTAGTCGGCTTTGCCGTAGGTTTCGTCGTCCATTACCACGCAGTCAAACTTCGTCAGCATCGTCGTGTACAGCCTCCGGGATCGCGCTTTGGCCGTCGTATTTTGTTTATCATCGCGATTTGGAGTCACTACCTTCTTGTAAGTCGATAGTCCGGCTCGTTTTTTGGCTCGATGCACGGTTGTAGACGATACACCCAGCTTATTTGCGGCATCTCGGAGAGAGAGGTTAGGGTTTCGCTTGAAACTACCGGCAACTCTCTTTGTCGTCTCAGCGGCTTCCGGTTTTCGATTTCCCCCCGATCCAGACTTCCTGGCTGTCGACAAACGTTCCCCAAACACTTTAATTACATTTGTAACGGTTGATTTGGCAACTTTTAGCGATTTTGCCAACTTTGCGTGCGAGTAGCTCGGATTTTCGCGATGCGCGAGCAAAATTTTGATACGCTGCTCTTCTTGCTTGGACGGCATTTTGACAACTAAAGAGTGAATTCCAAAATCAAAATAGGAGCAACATTCTACACACACACCTTCAAAATGAGGGGTGTTCAGGTTTTTTAAATGGAAAATTGAAAGAAATACGTCAAGTTGATATTGACCAAATTTTGACCGTATCACCCTTTAGGAGGTGTGCTGTCTTTGGAAAAGTTGTTCAGATGAATAAAACATATTCCGAATTTCATCACTCCGTTTCAACTGGGATTATGCATCTTTCTTCAACTATCATATTATTTGCCGTTACTGGAAATGGTGACTACACAAAGCACACATTTTGTTTTTGTCAATTACTCATAATCTTGTCAAGAATATGGGTGGATATCTCACCATATACGCAATCTTTCTCGAAAGAAAAAAGGACAAAGATTAATGAAAGTTATGAAAATTATAACTAAGCCATTCTATTGAGAATTTATTATGCTGCAACGAAACAATCAAATTGACATTCCATTTATTCAATTTCAACGTTTGCAATTTTAAAGATTTTTAGCTGAGCACAGGTAAAAATAAATTGAATTTAAAATAACTTTAATAAGTTTTAGTTGAAAGCCACTTGTCTGTAACATAAAGATTTGTTATGTCAGGTGCACTTTGATTTCCAAGGTTGTTTTGCCATGACTAACATTAATAAGTTAACAAAAGTTGGGTGAACATTTTCGGAATCTAATTACGAATAAAAAAGTTACTGATTTTCTAATTTCAAAAATTTAATATTTACTTCAGGATTTATTCAATAATATCCCAATTTAAAAAAATATTTATAATGATTTGTTCATTTTGGAGTTAAATGTTCAACCATTTATTTTCTTATTAATATGTTATTGAATGGAGCAGCAAAAATAATCTCGTAATTCTATGTCGATAATGCGGTCGTGCTATGGACAAAATTCCTAATTCTTTTTTTTACCAATACAGTTCTGTAAAAAATAATAGGTCAAATTTCCCATAGTAATGCAAGCTAACAAATGCTCATTACAGCTAAAATGCTATTTTTTCTGATTTATGAAGCTATGAAATATTTTAATGATAATTCTTATTTACAAGATGCAAGATCAGAAGCTACAGTGTGTGTATGGCACATAAAACATGTCAATTTAGCTTTCAGAGAGCCACAATAGCGATTAGCTGTAACGATGAGCAACGCGATGAGCGAGCAATCAGCGATCATAAAATCGCTAGTTGTGACCTTCTGAAAGCAAAATTTACAAATTGTGTATGTCATATACAAACTTTACCACCTCTTCTTGCACTTTACAAATAAAAACTATCATTATAGTATCCCATTGTTTCATAATAACGAAAAATAGCATTTTAGTTGTAATGAGCAATTGCAAGCCTTTAGTAAGGTACTTCCATGTAAAACTTTAAAATACGCAATATAAAGATTCAATTATTATAAAATTTATTTATTCTAACACTCAGGGAAGTTCAGGCAACGATGATACCAAACGTAACCAAGTTCAGATTGCAATATTAATTTGTCTACCCTTCACAGTGGTTCCGTAGTATTCCTTTAACCTAGAATTAAATTTGTTTCAATTTTCCATTCCAGAAATTGATCGTATTTTTAATAGCAACTCTTGCGGCTTCGGGTCGCTCAATGACCTTTGATGGATATACATACCCCACACCTTCGTGCAGTTTTGGGTACCCTACTACATCCACCGTAGTAAGCACCAGTATTGTTACCAAAACTGTGCCAATACCACCACAAACTGTCACTCGTTTGAGTACTTCCGTCATCATCGAAACTGTTCCCGTATACAACACTATAACAAGTACCAGTATCTTCACCAAACCTCCTCCACCACCAAAGACGATTATCCAGACCGTCCCTTTACGTCCAGAGACATCCGTAGTAGTTAGTACTGTAATTAAAACCACTCCAGTGTACAAAACTACTAAAAGTACTGTAACAACCACTCTACCACCAGTTACGCTTCCACCCCAAGTGTCCACGAAGATCGTTACTATTCCCCCCGTAACTAGAACTCAGACAACCACATATACCACGACTAAACCCGTCGTATCCAGAGTTACAGAATATAAACCTGTACCTGGACCAGCCGTTACTCTTCCCCCACAGGTGGTGACTACAATTCAGACCTTACCACCGGTAGTACGTACCAGCATTTCATTCATTACCACTACTACTCCTGTCATCGAATACCGCACTGTCACTCCTTCTGTATCGACGCGTACACTGCCTCCGTTGACTGTTCTCGAAACCAAGACATTACCTCCCGTAACTACCACATCTATTTCCATCATCCCAACCCCTAGTCCCGTATACCGTACCATCACTCAAACTATCACTACCACTCAACCACCCCCACCGCCAGTTACTTCATACTCTACCACAATCGTTACTAAAGCGCCAGAGACACGAACCGAAAAACTGACTAGCACTTCAACCAAAATTGAAACTAAGATTATAACGAGTACTATAACTAAGACAGTGACCACTCCCGTTCCCCAATTCATTACCACAACGATCCCAATACCTCCAGTTACCATCACTGTCTGTCAACCAACGAATGCCTATCTGCCGGTGAATCCTCCTGTGACTTCCTACCGGCAACTTGCCACCTATGACGATCAACCACGGTACAACGATGTCTTCCCGTGACGGCGAAAAGTAAATGCTACCCAAATCCGAACATGATACTCACCGATATGACACAAATGCACAGATTACAATTGAGGTTACTTTAAGAAGACAAGTTGTGTGAATGCGAATTTAAGAATTGCAAGTAAATGAAATAAAGCGAAACAATTAAGCAATGTGACGCAAGAGTTTTATTTCGGACTCACCTCCACTTCCGTTCTGCAATTTCTGTTGATATCGGCTTTTGATGACAAGCTACGATGGAGCTCCGTGTTAGAGATCCAGTTGTGTGGTCACTAGGCACACTATTATTGACCGCAGGCATGCAGATGGTTCCGTCATCTGGCTGCCAAGATATTAACCGTTAATATAGTCCTATATATTATGGAGGGAACTTGTCTGCACCTACGTTGTTGACATATTTGCTTTTATCCATTTTTTAACATTTTTAGCCCTGGAGATGGAAGATACAGGTCTCAGGCAAAAATAAAAAGATTGAATTTATCACAGTAATTTCAATATTGTAATATTAATTTGTAAACCATTGAGAATATTGAATCGTTGTATTCCTCTAATCTTTAAATAAATTTGTTTCAATTTTCCATTCCAGAAATTGCTCGTAGTTTTAATAGCAACTCTCGCGGCTTCGGTTCGCTCAATGGAATTTAATGGATATGACTACCCCAAACCTTCGTGCAATTTAGAATATCTTCCACCAGCCACCAACGAAGTAACCACGACTATTATTACCAAAACTGTGCCGCTACAGCCAGAACCTGTTACTCGTTTCCGTACTTCCGTCCTCACCGAAACTGTTCCCGCATATGAAACTGTAACAAGTACCACTATCGTCACACGCACTGCACCTCCTCCACCACCAAAGACGATTATACAGACCGTTCCTCTACCCCCGATTGTATCCACCGTAGTTACTACTGTAGTCAGGTCAACCCCAGTGTACACAACTGTTACAACGACTGCAACAGCCACTCTGCCACCAGTTACACTTCCACCACAAGTGACCACAAGTGTAGTTACTCTGCCCCCAGTTACTAGCATTCAGACATCCAAGTATATCGTGACTTCCCCTGTGGTATCCAGAGTTACAGAATATAAAACTGTACCTGGGCCAGTCGTCACTCTTCCACCAACGGTGGTGACTTCTACTAAGACCTTACCACCGGTAGTACGTATCAGTACTTCTTTAATTACCACCACTACTCCTGTCATCGAATACCGCACGCTCACTCCTTCTGTAACAACACGTACACTTCCTCCTACGACTGTAGTGAAAACCAAGACCTTACCTCCCGTAACCACCACATCTACTTCCATCATCTCAACACCCACTCCCGTCTACCGTACCATCATTAAAACTGTCACTACCACTCAACCACCACTACCACCAGTTACTTCAGTTTCTGTCAGCACCACTACTAAACCACCAGTGACACGAACCGATATACTGACTAGCACTTCAACCAAAATTGAAACTAAGATTTTAACGAGTACTGCAACTAAGACAGTGACCACTCCCGTTCCCCAATTCATTACCAAAATGGTTCAACTACCACCAGTTACCACCACCGTCTGTCAACCAACGAATGCCTATCTGCCGGTGAAAAAACCTGAAACTTCCTACCTGCCGCAACTTGCCACCTATGACGATCAACCACGGTACAACGATGTCTTTCCGTATGACGGTGGAAAGTAAATGCTACCCAAATCCGAACATGATACTCACCGATATGACACGAATGCACAGAAGACAATTGAGGTTACTTTAAGAAGACAAGTTGTGTGAATGCGAACTGAAGAATGCAAGTAAACGAAATAAAGCGAAACAATTGAGCAATGTGACGACGCAAGAGTTTTATTACAACCGCAATCTATTCCTGTGTTCAAGGTTGCAAAGACTCATTTCAGCTAAAATAATGTTTTTCGGAATAATAAAACCAAAAGATGGTATGATGGCATGTTTCACTTGTAACTTACAAGAAGAGGTTACAAAGTATGCGTTGGAAACATAAAACCTGTAAATTTTGCTTTCTATGAGTCACAATCAGCGATTTGCTGATCGCTGAGTGAGTGAGTGAGTGAGTTTGTGAAAAATCGCTGATTGTGACTCTCATGAAGTGAAATAAACAGGTTTAATATGTCAAACACATTCTTTGCAACCTCTTCTTGTATCCTACCAATTCAAAATTTGATCATGGCATCTAATTATTTCATAATTTAGAAAAACATTGTTTTAGCTGAAATGAGTCTTTGCAACCTTGCCTGTGTTCATCCCACGGGATTGTCAATCCTACGAGAGCCCGAATCAATGGAACAACTGCATTTGGGTCTATTCCGGATTTGAATTAACGGATTTGAAAACGATTTTCACTCAAGTGAAAACTATTCCTTATATTTTAAGAAAATAATACGAACTATTCGTCGCGGTTTGGAAGGAAGTCTTCTTTTCCCTTAATACGACCCATCAAGCGGTCTCGTCCACTGTTTTGGCGATTTTATCCTAGTTGAAGATGCTAATTTCAAATAACAGACTGTAGTGGTAATTTTTATACGATAGATGGAGTAGATGAAAGCATAGAGTTGATAGCTCCGTTAAAGTACGGCAGTGTGAAGATTGCATATAGATATTAGAATAGCGAGCTAGGACAACTTTTAAGGATGGTACAAATCGGTTTTTTCATCTCTCTTTACCAAACTCCCCCTTTGGAGAGGGATGGGGAGGGGCGTCCCCCTCGTCACCACTGGCAAAAAGAGATGAAAACCGACCCGCTCAAGTACCAACTGTGTGTTTGAAACAGTTCTACCGATTTTTTACCGCACTTCAGTTGTTATTTGAAGGAAGGCATCCAGTCGTAGGTTTATCCTACCTTTTTTTTATCCGAGCCGTTTTGATGACTGAATCTTTTACCTTCAGTTTCCTCTTCATAATTTCCCAGTAGTTTTCAATGGGCCTGAACTGGGGACAATTGGGCGGGTTGGAGGGTTTTCGGAACAAACTGGACTCCGTTGCCATTGTGACAGCTCGCAAAATCCAACCAAAATGTCACCAGACCATCATGTGACCTAGTAAATAGATCACCTTTTCGTGGTACGTTACGGGATGTAAGATCTACCACCGATTCCTGGTCCTGACTACTTCAAACTAGGGGAACAGGATTTTGAGTATTCCAAGGAACACATCTTAGTCCTTGTTACTTTCTATGTCTTGTTGATAGTGACAAGACTCGGCTTTATCCACCGAGGATGATCTTGAAACAAGGAAAAAATGAGTTAGTTAGTCTTCATCTATGTGATTCCTAATCTTCTATTCGTTGTTCCCTAGTTTGAGGTGGTAAAGACTAGGGTTCTGATGCATGGTCATTATCGGTATCATTCCTTAATTTTGTTGCTAAGGAATCCAATTTTGACTGACAAAAGGGCGTGCCTTTGGAAGGTGTTTCAACACTCCGAAGGGTATAAAGATCTGGGGGGGGGGACGTGCTGTCAAATCAGCCTACTGATCATTCTTGTATGAAACTGGTTCCAAACGTAAACAAACGCTGTATGTTTCTTATGGCGTGTTTACTTTTGGAACCAGTTATGCGAGGCATGCGAGGTAGGCGACGATTGTTCGTATTTGACAGCCACCTCCCCCCCTTGATAAAGAGCGGGACCTTTCAATTAGAGTCGGATCCTTGCGATAAATGCGAGAATGACAACTGTAAAAAAAATCGAATGCTTCATCATTTCTCAATAGTAGCGGCGCCGGTGGTGTAGTGGTAAGCGTGATTACCCGAGCAAAGTTAGAGATCAAATTGAATCAGAATTTGCTGTTATGATGTAACTTATTTTGACTACTCCATTTGATCTTATTTTGGTTGACTTAACGGCTAACACAGCAAAAATGAGATCAACATTTTACACTGTTGCATCAAACGGAAAACTAATTCTGCTTTCAATGAAATCAATTTGATTACTGATTTTGCATTCATAATGTTTGACTGAATATGGGCCTGTCGTAAATGGTTAGCATCCATGCTTCTCACGCTGAAAGATTTGAGCTCAAATGTCACCTCGGGCTAGTCACGAATGACCTAAATTTGTTAAACAAAACAAATAAACTATAATCGTTAGTTTAACGACAGATCAACTTAAATCAAATTTTAAACAAGAAATTAACAGCAGAACTTCAAGTTAAGTTGCTTTAATTTAAAAAGTGTTGACTGCATAATAAAAACACAATATGATATCAGACTTCTGTCGCGACAATTGAAATCAAAATTAGTTTTCATTATGATAGGAGCTGCAAACTTTAATATCGATTTGCTTTCATTTTGTTAACCGACTTTGCTCGGGTACCTCTCACCCCCGCCGGCCTGGGTTTAATCCCAGTCGGTGCCGCCGGGATGTTCTGAGGCATAGCATATCTGATCACGCCTTCCTTCGGAAGGGGCGTCGGTAGTATTGGTGCTCAGAAAACAAGATCGACGGAAAACAAATCAAAAGAAAAAAAAATCATTTCTCAATAGTGATGGAGTAATACGACATGCACTAAACTAAGGACACGGGATATACTACAAAAGATCAAATTACTGGTCGCAGTGGTGTTAAGTCCCGAACAGAGAAAAAAAAATCATGTGACTGGATGAAGGGCAGAATTCGCTTCTGGAGACATTCTGTTTTGTAAACCTCCGAGTTCATCATTTTGGGGCCTCCCTTAGCTCAGTCGGTAAAGGCGCAGCTACAAAGCAAGACCATGCTGGAGGTGGCTGGGTTCGATTCCCGGTCCGGTTTAGGAATTTTTCGGGTTAAGGCATCGAAAGCTCTCAATTAATAAATGTGGAAGTGTCTCTAGAACACTAAGTTGAGAGCACGCAATAAGCTAATGTGCGATATGCAATAAGCTTGACATGCGAAGAAGAAGAAGAAGAAGAGTTCATCATTTTCTCAGTAATGGAAACTTCTGTCTTCCAGCCGCAGCTGCAAATTCCCTATCCAGCTTTCCATGCTCGGTAATGGCGGCCTGTTTGTATGAATAAATATATTCTTCACTGCACTTTTTGACACTATCTGGATGTTCGGGTTTTGACCCCTCCTTTTCCCTCTCCCAGGAACAGAAGAAAATGGAACAAAATACGCCCTCCACACAGTTCGAAAAGTAGTGTAAATTTCTGTTCAATATGATGCACACAAATGGAGCGTCATATTTCATATAAGTTTACATTATATATCATGTAAAGTTCTAGCACAATTCATGCAATGTAGAAAATATTGTATACAAACCCCATCTTTGTAAACAATATTGTTTACAAGTTGCTCGGTTGTGTGAAATTAAATTTAAGTTTACGTGAATGAATGTTTACATCACAATTAAAATTCAGAATTTTTATCTGTGCAGTTAGTGTCAAAAAGCACAGTGAAGGATACATTTATTCATACAAACAGGCCGCCATTACCGAGCATGGAAAGCTGGATTCCCCATAGGGGTTTGAATCTATGTAATTTCCGGCCTACTAAGCATAACCCACACTTAAGGTGATTCCTTGTTGAGTCCCCAAATGGCCACTACGTAGGCTATACATGCACTTCCACTTCAAATTTTCAATCACACAAATTTCGGAAATCAGTACCCAATTTCACCTGAAATTGATTGTTCATGTATGTTGCAGTGCAGCAAACGTGGAGTAACAATTTGAATGTTGCACGTGTCGTAGAAGCTTCTACTTATGCACTTAATGTTTCGAAGTGGTTCCGAGAATAAGGATGTTACAGCGAATCATCTTCACCTCTTTTTTTTTCGAATGGATATAAACTCAAAAATAGATTGGTTCTGCTATAGATGACTTCCAAATTTATTTACCTTTCCATACGTACCGATGGATTTGATAAAAAGTCACAAATTCTTGGGATATTGTAAGAAATCTAACACTGCGTCATGATTGCAAATTTGTTCTAAGAGTTTCAATTCCGTCCTAACGCATTGAAACGCCATTGGTTTTTTTTAGGTTTTTCTTCGTTCTACGAATGAAGACAGAAAAAAAAGATCTACTAGGAGCGCATCTTTTGTTTTGAGAAAAATGAGTATAAATATTCATACAACGCACTCTTATGGGCTTTGTGTTGTAGCTTATGAGCTAACGCATCGAAACAATCATCGAAAATTGATTTTTTCCACCGTGAAATCATGGATATTATTGATGATTTCTGCTCGATAGAATGGGATTGGATGATTACGACGAAGTAGCACTCCACCCTATATTTGCGTGCGAATTTATCCACAAAAACAAAATTTAATCTGCCAGGCATACCTCCTCTAACCTTCGCCTTGTAAACTGTTGGTACTGGAAGCTGTCCGAAGTCGGCCTTTACATAGGTTCCATCATACATAAGTATGACTTGGTTAGCAGGTTGTGATACAGCTTTCAAGCACGGGTTCTAGCTACGGTATTCTGCTTGAGTGATCGATTGGGTTGCATACTGGCGTGTTATGCCTGTAAGCTTTCGCGGTAGCGAATTCGCTGCACTGTATTGCGGGCGGCATTATACTTTTGACTCAAATCGCGATCGCACATTTCTGGGTTGCTTCTGACGGACCTCACGACCTTTCCATGTCCACTCCGGCGTTTACTATAAGGTTTCCGATTCGTCGTCAAGGTTTTTCTGTACGTTTTAACCACGGGCCATACGGTGTTTCTAGGAAAATTCAACACTTTAGTCACGGACCACGGTGGATTTTC